AGTAACTGTTTGTAATAATTGCCATTGTAAATTGTACTGTTGTGTGTATTAAAACGTATTTGTGTTAAAAACAAAGACGGTGTGTATCAATCTTCTTGGCAAATATTGTAAATTGACTAATATATCGGCATTTATTTAAATACTAAATCTAAAGTACAATTTAATTACTAAATTTACATTATTTAACTCAGCTTCGGACTATTTTAAATTCTAATAAGTAACAAAATATATAGTATAAAAAATATCATGGAATAAACTAAATAAGTAAAAAAAGTGTAACAATGGTAGGTGAAACACAATTATTCCTTATCGCGAGTACTATATCTATTAAACAGTTGGAACAGTTACATTATACATTTTTCCAACAGGTATGATCACGTGGTTTTATTACTGGAAGCTATTTATTTGATTGTCTGCATTGCTATGTTATCCAAAATTCTGAAATGATTATCTTAATACAACACTACGCTGTATAAGTAAGATTTCAAAGAGCGTTAAAGAATGAGACAATTTGCTGGAACAAAGTAATTTAATATTAAAATCCCAACTTATGAATTTGATAGACAAAGTTTTAAACCACCAGTAACTATTAAATGGGCTTTTTATATTAACATATAGCATTCTATTTAAACGTTAAAGTTTTCTTTACGAACAAAAGAAGTGCATCTAATTGTACAAAATCTTTGTAAATTCTCTAAAATTTACTTTAAACTATAAACTGTAAGTTATATATTTCTAGTAATGTAATGATTGTTAGCTAAAGAGTGTTGCGTGTTGTTCATGATAACGTTAAATTGTGTAAGTTGACATGGACCTAGAACTTCTAGAAAACTCTAAGGATGTGACTTCAAGTGTATTATGTATATACGAGATAGTTAAGGTAGTGTATAGGAATTTTCAAGACAGAAAATGACTCAGTCAAGTATGTTAACTATCAGTTATTTTGAACAAGAACGTTGATTTCTTTTACTTTAGTTAACGTCATTTATAAAGTAGGTCCATAGCAAGTTTACGGAAGTACAAGTATTCTAGTTTGTAAAAGCGTTAAAGGAAGGAATTAACTTATTCGCTATAGTTTGCATGGACTGAACTATGAATTACTTAGACCAGATACTCCAAAAAACCCTCACCGAAAGAACAATGTTACACAATTTGGTGTCAGAAGTGGGATTTATTTAGGTGAAAATAAAATATAATTTGAAAAGTACTTGAAATAGAAGCTCAGCTGTTGAAGATGCGATCACGAGATCAAGTAGCGAAATTTAAGGATTACTCAAGATAATGAAATTATTTAAACAAGGTCACGAAAAATGAGACAGGAAACTTAAATAATATCAAGAAAAAAGATATAGAAAACTAAAAAAGTAGAAAATTGAAAGGGAAAGGAATTTAATACCGGAGATAAAAGAAGGAGACATAATATCTGAAGAAGAATTAAAATATAAAATAAATATTACTGAAGACCAGACCGATGAAGCTACAAGGAAAATACAGAGTAATTACAAGAAATTTGAAGAAATACAGAAAAACATTGACAAAAGTGAAGTGCAACAGGACATCCAAGAAGCCAAAAGCGAAGTAAGGAAAGAAAGACATCAACGAGATAAGAAAGAGCATCAGTAAGGTAGAAAAAAACATC